GGAGACGCTCTTTGCTTGGATGCTTGCTCGGGGCCTCAGTCTGTAAGCGGGAGAGGCAGACTTGCCACCGCAGGTGCAGTGCTGGGAGCCCGGAAGGCAGCTGTGGCAGGTGGAGCCTGAGCAAGGTCCTGCTGGATGCCACGCTCTGCCTAGGACAGGGTTCCTGCTCGACCTCAGGGGCTCCCAGGAAGGGGTCTCTGCCCCCGCCCTCAGCACGGGCAGCTGTATCCAGAACGGGCTCGTTAACCACCTCCCCCAAGCAGACCTGGCGGGCGTGGCCTAGGTGGCCCGTGTGGTCTCATGAACACGGGGCTCGAGCGCCTGCCACCCCCGTTCCTGCTCGTGCCGGGAGCGTGCCAAGGAGATGAGGCAGAGACTGCTTGGCCCTGAGCAGGTAGAACTACCACCGGGGGGGGGCCGGGACTGCTTGAGCCTGTTCCTGCGAACCCCTGCCCTGGGACGGCACCGCGGCCAGGCAGTCCGTCCGTGTCCCCCCGCCCCCAGCTTCGGCCCCCGCATGTCGCTTTCTCTCCCCAGGGGGAGCCCTAGTTCCAGACTTGCCCCGTCCCGCTGCTCCAGGAGAGGGCAATAATTAGCTTAGTGGGTTCCTGAGTCGGGGGAGCAAACCCCGATCTATTCTCCTTTCCAAAGTCAGCTCCCAAGAGGGCCCAGCCCCAGGTGTGTCCCCCCTTGCGCAGCGCCGGACTGGGACAAGCATATAGAATCGGAGTGGTCAGGGCTGGTTTCCTGGGTCGGCCTGCAGGGCCTTTCCTGATCTGCCAGGCTGGGGGAGGTGCAAGCAGCTGTTTTGTGGGACTCCTGCACTAAGGGAATCAGGCCGTCTCCTCAGAGATGAGATGAGAAACTAAGGGCATTTTATTAACTTTTAAAAATAAAAACACAATGACAAAAAGAGGTGCCGAGGTTCAGTGTGCTCAGTATTTCTGGCAGCCCTTCCCGCGAGCGGGACTGTCGTGTGCGTAGGATGTCCTGTGTGCCCGCCGCCCTGCCAGCAGCCACACTGCTCTGTCCAGCCTGGTTTTGCGATGTCGTGTGTTCTATTGACTAGTTACTTGTTTCATGAAAATAAACTGTGAATCTCTTTGGTGCTGGCTCTTTCACATCTTTGCAAGTGGAGCCGTCCTCGCGTACAGGTCTGAAGGGTCGCCCTGCCAGGTGAGTCGTGCACTCCGTGCTTTCGCAGCGCCTGTTTGAATGGTCAAGTCGCTGGGCCACGCCCCAAGCCCACAGCCGAGCGTACACCATGCTTCTCTTCTGTGATCCCGTGTGTCCAGCCACCTCTGCACATGGCAGGGCTGTGGCCAGAGCTCAGCGCCGAGAAGGGGAGGAAATGAGGACGCTGCTGTGTCTGGCGGAAAGGGCCGTGCAGGCTACTGCTGCTTGGAGTGTGCCCGCCCCAGCCGTGCCGCACGGAGGGTTGTGCTGGTGGCTGTGTGGATGGTGATGGTGACGGCAGCGCTGAGTCCGAGTGCTCTTACCTCTGGATATGACCCCGGAGAGAGGCCCACCCGCCGCCCAGGAGGCCTCTGGGAGAAGTAACGTGGTACCCGCCCCAGGGTTGTTGCCTGCCGGGGAAACAAGAATCACCGTGAGGGGCGGCCGTAGAGCTCGCCAGCACACACTGGGCTGGCACCATGCCCCTTCGGTCCATTGCCACCTTTCAGAATGGGACTCGTGCAGACACCGCAGCACCCCCACACCTGTGCTCACACGGGAAGCCAAGGGAAGGGGCAGACAGCTCGGTCAGGCCGTTGCCGTAGAGCCACAGCTCTAATGGCTGCAGCAGCGCCGGGGCTGCTGGCTTCTCACTGAAAGCAGGAACTCTCCCACACTGGTGAGGACAAGTGCGTTGGACCTGCCCCTCCCCCACTGGTCTGAGCCCTGCGCGGCTGCAAGGCCCGGGGCAGCTTCTGAGCCGTGCTTCCTGGTGGCAGGTTCAGAGAAACTCTCCAGTAAGCTGCAAAACGGCGGAGACTGTCCCCACCTTCCCCGCGCTGCGGGCGTGAGACGGAAGCGCAGCCTTCGGCGAGCTCCTCCACGTGCCGGACCCGGCCATCTTCCATTGCGGCTCTGCCCGGGGCTGCGGATCACCTGCCTCGAGCGCCTTGCCTCGGCCCCGGTTGCTCACGCTCCGCTCGGTAGCTAGAGCTTTTCAAGTCGGGTAGTGGGGATCGGGAGGCCTCACCCACCTGCTTCCCCTAACGGCCGTGGCGTTTATGCCCAAGCCCCCTGTGTTGCTGCCGTCCAGTCTTGCTGTCTCCCGGAATCATGTCCCATCCAAGTGTGAGATCTGCTACCACCTTCTCCCCCAGGGGCTCAGCCGTCCCGGCAGCTCCGACGCCGCAGGCACTCACCGCTCTCAGCACACGACGCGGTCGAGAAAGAGACACTCCTCAGAAGTGACAGATTTGCTGTCAGAGCAGAGCATGCTCACCCCGGCCCCAGCCTTGGGCTGAGGGAGAAGCCACGTCCCAGACCAGGTGCTCACGGCCAAAGCTGGCACTAGTGCTACCAGGAAATACCAGCTTTTGGACACTGCCCTCAAAGGTGGCACGTACAGCAGCATTCTGTGCCCAGGCGGGACCACCCTGAACAGCCAGACCTGGCCCTGCACCGACAGATCCCTCCACCGAGCAGTGGGTCAGACCTCGCAGGCCTGCTCGAGTTCCTGCCTCTGTGCGAGTTGGGAGCGCCTGACCCTGATGGATCTGGCGCCAGCGAGACGCAAGTCGCATGTCGCACCACTAGCAGAGCTGACACCGGGAGAAGGTACTGGCGGCTCCGCCCCTCAGCTTGGATGGCTCTCGCGGACGGGGAGCAGCTGACAGTTGGCACCAGGGAAACCGGGCCCTCCTGGGCAGCCAGGAACCAATGACATCGCCTTGTGGGGTCTTCCCTGTTTCTCCTGAGACCAGACTGGAGTGCAGGGACTTGCAGAGCCACGCTGCAGACTGGTCCGTCTGCCTGTCGCTGGATTAAAGGCACGAGGAACTTTGGAGAAGGGCTTCTGGAGCCATCCTCAAACCTCTTCCAGGGAGGTGCGCTCCCCGCCCCTCAGTTCACAGCCGCAGGCATGGTGGCCTCTGGGGCTGAGGGCGGGAGAGCCCTGGGGGGGCCCAGAAGCTGTCTGGGCACTCGGCTGGAGTGAGGCGGCAAGGGGGAAACTGGGCCAAAGAGGTGCCAGAGCTAGAGGGCAGCAGCCACTGCTGCATTGCTCTCCCCTCCTGATCCTGGCATGCCTGCCCCCCACCAGCTGGCTTCTGGTGGGGCAACACTAGCCTCTGCCTGATGGAGCAGCAGCATCTCAGCTGGCTGCACAAGCCCGTCCCTGCCCCATCAGTGAAACGCCTCACTCGCGCTGTGGAGTCCCCAGGGTGGGAGCTGCTCAACACCCT